CCCCCCCCCCCCCCCCCCCCCCAGAAAAAAACAAGTCACAGTGACAGAAGAGGGAAAGAAAGAAAGATGTCAAAAAGAAAACATTTTCTCCAGAATACATTAGATTCATTTGTTTAAAAAAAAACCAAAGCCATATGACAATGTGTACAGCTTGGGTAGTGTACTTGTGTTTGTAGGTGTCATTTTGGTATGAATTTTGGTTAAAGGGGTGTCTTTACCTCTCACCTCAGTATGTCTCAGTGAAAATGGGTTTCTAGAGTCCTTACAATAGAAAATCTCTCTCCCTCCTCTCTCTCTCAAAAGACCACTATTGTTGTACTAAACCTACTAGTACAAACTAGCCTGCTATGAAAAAAAATCACCTCACTGTATAGGATTATGTACAGCCTGCTATTAAAGGTGGGATCTGGAGGATTTTCAAACAAAACAAAATATAGACATATACAAATGAAATCCTGCTTACTCATCACCTATGGGCTTCTACTCATGTGTGGTAGTGACTCTGTTTGCAGAGCTCCTGCCCTTTAACTGTATTTTGATGTTTTTGTGAGCTTGGACCGCTTCTGGGCAGAGATTTCCCCAGCCAATGAGAGAGCGCAGGTGCCATGCCTGAGTGTGTCCGAGCGTGCACCAGCGCGAGCCTTGCCTGAACCTCTTCTGTGAAGCCTTCTTCTGTACCTCCGGGCTCCGTACACCAGGGAGAGTTGAGCCTGACAGGAAGGGCCAAATTTGATTGTGTGTTTACAAACAGCAACTGGAAAATCCTCCAGACCCTACCTTTAAGTAGCTACTAGCTAGAGTGGTCCAAACTGATGGTAAAATGCATATATCTTTTTAGTCAAATAATGTGAACATTTTCTGCAGCTGGGCCAAACTGACCGCTCCTTTTCAAATTCTGGACCTCACTAATTTCTAAACCCTGGCTACGACCCTGTATACCAGTCATCTGATGTTTGGTGAAAATGTTATTTCAGTCTAAATTTTCTTCTGGTTGTTATCATAAGTTGCTAGCGCTGTGTTGTACAAGTCTGGATATTCAGACTCTTCCATCTTGTCTTCTTTCTGCTTCCATGATGCCCACCCACTTATTTGATCAGCCAAAGCCAAGTGGCTACCACCAGAAGTGCAAAGGGGTAAATTCTGCGTGACAGAGCAAAATCTTTGCACATTTACATGGATGGCAACTGCTTCATACTGCCATGTTCGAAATGGCTTCCCCTCTGGTTCTTCCCCCTCTTTGGCGGAGTGAAAGTAGCTTAGAGTGAATATGAAAGAATCAAAATACAGCTTGTTTATCTAAAAAAGTGCCAGAAGAGGATCCCACTGATCCCCTGACCCCCAGACATCCAGGCTAAACTCCAAATGTTCTCAGATCCTAGAAACGCCCCTGTGTACATGTGACCTCCTTGCAAAAGTGGCCCTGGGGCAAAGCAAGTTGAGTATCCCTACTACACACATTGCTATCCAGAAATCCATGTGTGCAATTTGTCTCATGATGATTTAAGATATTCTCATCAGATTTGACACATTTTTATTATCTTGCAAAAATACAGTAGAACAATTAAAAACAAATATGAGTTTAGTGAAAGAGGACACAAAATGCTTCCAATCAAGGTAACATGTGACGTCACGTCGTGCTGTCCAGTGCATTCACGCACACATTGCTGAGCAGGCAGGTGACGTCAGCTCAAGTCTGTGAGGGTTCAGAGCTTTGGATATTGCTTTAGGTTGGATCCCGATGAAGAGTTTAAACGGATAGCTGTCACGGTGTCAGTTACAAGCAGCTAAAACAGTCAGATAACGGTCAGAATGACGTGATAAGAAGAATGATTGGTTCGCACTTCCAGCTGTCACAGACAGCATTCAGCGACAACAAACAATGAGGCGATAAACACAATGTAGAAATAGGCGAGGAGCCACGGTAGAGACTGGCCCCCTTCACACACACACACACACACACACACACGCACATTGTTCTACAGCCAGTGTCACAGGTGTTTTTATGTCGACGTTTAACACTACAATGTGTATTTTAAAAGACAGCTAGCAAACACTAAGCAGACAATTCAATAAACAGGATAACGGGGTTGCTACTAGCTAACTAGCAGACGTTATAGCAGACTATTCATTATTGAAACCTTAATCATCCTACCTTGACTTTGACACGAACGACCCCCCTCTCCTCCTCGCCTGCCATTTTAAAGACTCCGTTTCGGAACAGGGTGGTTGTTAAGAGTTTTGTTTTCCTCCTACACCGACATGGTGATCAATAACATGGTGAGGGGGTGGGGGGTGTGGGGTGTGGGGGGTGCTGCACTAGCCGAGCTCCTCTTCGTGATCTTCTTCTGCTTTGACTATACACAGAGGTTACAGCTGGATTACCGCCATCTACTGGACACCCCAGAGTTGTTTTATCTGAAGAAGGGGAACATTTCTAGATTAATCTACCCATGCCACTCCTTACATGTTTCCTCCAACAATATTAATAAAACCAATTCAGTTATTTTAAAGTAAGTAATCAATTAACTAAACTCCATAACTGCCTTAAAGACATAAAAACCTGGATGAGCACCAATTTCCTGATGTTAAATTCAGACAAAACTGAAGTTATTGTTCTTGGCCCCAAACAACTCAGAGACTCTTTATCTGATGACATAGTTTCTCTAGATGGCATTGCTCTGGCCTCTACCACTACCGTAAGAAACCTCGGAGTAACATTTGATCAAGATTTGTCTTTTAATTCTCATTTAAAACAAACCTCACGGACTGCATTTTTTCATCTG